GTAACAAATACTCCAGCATTTAATAGGAGGTGAGAGACACAGGAGTAGGACCTGGGAAAATTCTTTCTGGCCACTGCAACAGAAGAATCCCCCCACCACAAGATCTTTAGTTTAACACCAACCAGGTGCCGCAGAAGTCATGGAACCACGGGTGGTGTCTAGTGCCCAGGCCCAATAGGGTCAGCTGTGCAGTTAGAGGGTTTGCCACTGAGCAGAAGGCACCAGTGTCCTTTCCATTTGGTTTGTGTGCTCGCTTTCATCAGCCTTTTTAATTCCTCCCAGTTTGTATAAATTCATTCTCCAGTTTTCTGGAGATTCTCTAAGGTATTACTAGCCCTGGATTTAAGTTTATGTTACATGAAAAGAGCCAGAGTCTATTTCTGATGGTTGCAGAGAGAGAAATGGGGGGGGGGGGGGGGGAAGGGAGGCAGAAAGCAAGATTCTTCCTGGAAGTTAACTGCATGCTGAGTTCCTTTGCTGTTTGCCCCAAGATTTTCCAGAAGTCACCTTCCCCCTTAAGCCAAAGGCACCTCAAGGATCAAGTTACTCCATTTCCCCTTGCTCCCTGTTTGGAAAACACAAGTTGGCTGTCTTCTCCAGCCTCCCACTTCTCCGCCCTCAGGTCTAACCCAGTCTTGTGCAGTAAGAGAAAACAAATCAACAAACCTCACTCTCCAAGCAAACACGTCATCTTTCTTGCCCTTATTTTAGGCATCAGTTTCTATTTTGGAGTTCTCATTTCTTGTATTCTGTATGGTAAGCAAAGGAAAAGCATGGTCCTTGGGATATCTTAAGAATGAAACAGGAAGAATCTGCACAGAAAACAAGTCCACCGAGTAGCACTTTGAGATGTAACCCTAAATCCATATGTTTACACACAGGAAATATACATATGCTTTTATTTTGTCTCTATATTTCTATTCACTGTTTTCAGTTCAGTTCAGTTCAGTCTCTCAGTCGTGTCCAACTCTTTGTGGCTGCATGAATTGCAGCACGCCAGGCCTCCCTGTCCATCACCAACTCCCAGAATTTACTCAAACTCATGTCCATCGAGTTGGTGATGCCATCTAGCCATCTCATCCGCTGTTGTCCCCTTCTCCTCCTGCCCCCAATCCTTCCCAGCATCAGAGTCTTTTCCAATGAGTCAACTCTTGGCATGAGGTGGCCAAAGTATTGGAGTGTCAGCTTCAACATCAGTCCTTCCAATGAACACCCAGGACTGGTCTCCCTTAGGATGGACTGGTTGGATCTCCTTGCAGTCCAAGGGACTCTCAAGAGTCTTCTCCAACCCCACAGTTCAAAAGCATCAATTCTTCGGTGCTCAGCCTTTTCACAGTCCAACTGTAACACCCATACATGACCACTGGAAAAACCATAGCCTTGACTAGATGGACCTTTGTTGGCAAAGTAATGTCTCTGCTTTTTAATATGCTATCTAGGTTGGTCATAACTTTCCTTCCAAGGAGTAAGCGTCTTTTAATTTTGTGGCTGTAGTCACCATCTGCAGTGATTTTGGAGCCCCCCAAAATAAAGTCTGACACTGTTTCCACTGTTTCCCCATCTATTTGCCATGAAGTGATGGGACCAGATGCCATGATCTTAGTTTTCTGAATGTTGAGCTTTAAGCCAACTTTTTCACTCTCCTCTTTCACTTTCATCAAGAGGATTTTTAGTTCTTCAATTTCTGCCATAAGGGTGGTGTCATCTGCATATCTGGGGTTATTGATATTTCTCCTGGCAATCTTGATTCTAGCTTGTGCTTCTTCCAGCCCAGCGTTTCTCATGATGTACTCTGCATATAAGTTAAATAAGCAGGGTGACAATATACAGCGTTGACGTACTCCTTTTCCTATTTGGAGCCAGTCTGTTGTCCCATGTCCAGTTCTAACTGTTGCTTCCTGACATGTTTTTACAACTTATTACTTAAAAACTTTTGCATCAGCGTAACACACGATCCCTAAATTTCTCTCCTCGGCGTGCAATCCAGCCCGAAGGGTCAGACTCCGAGGAGGCTGGCAAAATCCGTCCGTATCTCCATGTATATGTAAGGCTGAATCCGTTCGCTATTCACCTGAAACTACCACAACATTGTTAACTGGCTGTACCCAAATAAAAAATAAAAATTTCAAAGTGAAAGCCCATCTCTGTCTCATTCAAACCGTGAGGGTTATATTGCTCAGTCGTGTTCGACTTTTTGCAACCCCATAGATTATAGCCTACCAGGATCCGCCGTCTATGGATTTTCCCAGACAAGAATACTGCAGTGGGTTAGCCATTTCCTTATTCAGGGGATTCTGGCGACCACAGGAATTGAACCCGGGTTTACCCGTATTGTAGACTGACGCTTTACCGTCTGAGCCACCAAGGACGCCCTAGGTCTCTCTTATCCTTGTAAGTAGGTCGATTGCTAACGTTGATGAACTCATGACGTCACTTCCCTTCACAGGGGACTCGCCATTGGTCATCTCGACAGGGGTGGGCCGAGCTTGGGTTGAAGAAGAGGAGCCGCCTTAGAGGTCCCGAATGGGGTTGGTTTATGTAAATCTTGCAGCGAAGTGGTCCTGTTCCCGGAGAGCCACTTTCCCGGTTACGGAAATGTTCCTGAGATTTTGTTGGATTTTTTTTTTTTTTTTTTTAGAAGAGTTATTTGGAGGGATTGAGAGGCGTGGGAAAGGAGAGGGTGCGGAGAATAGTGGAAGAATTGCGGGGCAACGGCAAAGTCAGCGTGTGTGTACAGTGAACGTGTCTAAGGCTGTGCGGGGGGCAGGGGAAAAATCAACTCATACTTACCTGGCAGAGAAAATACTATGATCAGGAAGGTGGTTCTCCCAGGGCGAGGCTTACCCATTGCGCTCCGGATGTGTTGACCTCTGCAATTTCCTCGAATAGGGGAAATTCGATTGTGTAATTATGGTAGTGGGGGATTGCGTGCGCGCTTTCCCCTGATAACTAAGTAATAACTGTAGACTTAATCTATTTCTTATCTGACTCTTGTGGTTCCCATGGACTGTATGTTTGCCAGGCTTCTCTGTGAGATTTTTCAAGGCAAAAATACTGGAGTGAGTCGCTATTTTGTTCCTCAGGGAATCTTCTTAACCTGGAAGTCACACTCGGGCCTCCTCGCATCAGGTGGCCAAAGTACTGCAGTTTCAGCTTCAATACTGGTTTTTCAAATGAACACCCAGAACTGATCTCCTTCAGCATGGACAGGGTGGGTCTCCTTGCAGTCCAAGGGACTCTCAAGAGTCTTCTCGAACATCACAGTTCAAAAGCATCAATTCTTCAGCGCTCAGCTTTCTTTATAGTCCAACTCTCACATCCATACATGACCACTGGAAAAACCATAGCCTCGGTTAGACGGAACCTCTGTTGGCAAAATAATGTCTCTGCTGTTTAATATGCTATGGAGGTTGGTCATAACTTTCCTTCCAAGGAGTAAGCGTCTTTTTATTTCACGGCTGCAATCACCATCTGCATTGATTTTGGAGCCCAGAGAAATGAAGTCAGCTACTGTTTCCACTGTCTGATGCTGGGAAGGATTGAGGGCAGGAGGAGAAGAGTGCGACAGAGGATGAGATGGTATCACTGACTCAATGGACATGAGTTTGAGCAAATTCCAGGAGGTAATGAAGGGCAGGGAAGCCTGATGAGCTGCAGTCAATGGGGTCTCCAAGAGTCGGACATGACTGAGGGACTGAACAACAACAACGTTATGTAAGTTCAAACAGTTAAGTAGACACACGCAAACATACATAAAGACCCAGTCTAATTTTAAGTGATGATATCGACAATGTCTGAAATGAACTGTATTGCACGGGATTAACAAGGACCAATTAGAAAATGCAGAGGATTATTTTTGATAGGAATTGCACTGACTCTGCAGATCACCTCGAGTAGTACTGGCATCTCAACTACACTGAATCTTTCAATACGTGGAGGCTGTCTTTCCATTTCCTTAGGGGTTCTTTAATCTCTTGCAGCTATGTTTCGCAGTTTTCAGTGTTCAAGTCTTTCACGTCCCTTAGTAATTAAGTGATATTGCAAGTGAAATTGTTTTCTTAATTTCCTTTCCAGATTTTTCACTCCTATTACTTAGAAACACAACTGATTTTTGCCTGTAGTGTACCCATTATGCAGAATTCAGTTGTTGACTCTGGTAATTTCCTTGTGTCCTTGGGGATTTTTCTATGTATAGGAGCACCCATCTGCAAAGAGAAAGACAGACAGGAGGTTACCTGTTTTGGGTCACCAGTAACCCCTGAGTCTTGGATCAGCATGCACAGCCTAGGCCAGAGAAATGGAGATAGGTGGGGAGCCTCTCTTTGCAAGCAAATTCAATCGGCAGGGATAGGGCGACGCCTCGAGGACCCCTCAGGCCAGAAAAGGGCGGATTCCTATCAGCTCAGCCAAAAGCCCCGGATTAGACAGCCGAGGTTATTTAAGGTGCAGCAGGCACTCTCCTCTGGGAGGCACCTAGAGCCCCAGCTAGGCCGAAGCTGAAGGGGAAGCTGACTCCAGGCCTTGGGGGCTTCGGGCGGGGTCTGGGCTGCTTCAGAGCTTGAGTTCTCTGGCGAGGTGTCCGCCTCGCCATCCCACCCACCTGCTCGGTGGGCAGTAGGGGACAAGCCACCAAGTCCAAAAGGTAGAACCACACGATGTTGCTGGCGGTGATCAGGCACGAGAAGCCCGTTCCTTATTAGGGTACGAATTCAGACCCAAGCAACAAGGCGCGGAACCGTCTTGGGTGGGGAGCTCCGAGCCGGTCCAGGTGGTGCCCTCTTGGCCTTTCTAGAACTTTTATCTGTTCCTAAAATCACCTGCTAGAAAAAAAAGGTTTTGAAGAACGACAGACCTGAAAAATCTAGGTTTCTCTAGGACTGAAAACTTGCAGGTGTCATAAGAATTCTCCATCTACCGACCACTCCCAGCAGCTGAGACGGAATGCATCCACCGCCCAGCATTTCTTGGGCGACTGCTGGATGCCAGGCCCCGTTCCAGGCATGGTGAACCAACTCCAGGTCGGGCCCCGTGGAGTTATTTATTCTCTGGAGGCGCCGAGAAGGGGCAGTGCCGTGGGGAAACAGCCAGTTGCTGTCCTGGCCTCGTGCGACCCCCAGGACCCCGGGGCAAGTGCCGTGAGCGCGACCGGTGAGGCCGATCACGAGTGGGAAGTGAGGGCTTTAGCCCGAGAGAAGCTGCAGCTGTCTCGGGTAGAGGGGCAGCTTTGGAGGCGGCCAGGAGCAGGCGAGAACAGCTATGGGCTCCGCGTTGTTGCGTCCGAGCCCCAGCTCACTCCGGTTCCAGGTCCGCCGCCTGGCGTGCTCGGCGCCCAGATTTAGCGTCTCTGGTGCCGACGAGGTTGGGCCAAAATAGAGACATTTGAATCTTTTTTCCCCGGCGGTTGGAAGGGACGGGGGAAATCCATTCTGATTGCAGGACATTACAGGAGGTGTTTGTAACAGTTGGTCTCTGTGGCGCAATCGGTTAGCGCGTTCGGCTGTTAACCGAAAGGTTGGTGGTTCGAGCCCACCCAGGGACGAACTCGGCTTTGAATCTAGCGATGTCTCAGCCGTTAGTTTTATGCACCTTTCACTTCCTCCCCAGCGCCTGCAATCCCCAGGCTGTTGATTTCCGCATGCTCCTTCATCTTGGTTTTTACCTGGTGGCGTTGATCTCTCTGCGCCACCTTGAGGCCTGCCCTCACTAAGCCATCTGCCTTGAACCTGCCAGGACAGTTGCCAGTGGATGAAGACACACGCACCGGGGGTTGGGGGGTGGGAGGGGGAACCTTACTCAAGCTATTACGTCGCAGATCAGGCGCTATGTCACCACCTGCAGGGGCACCGCAATGCTAGGTCTCACGATGCCTCCACCCTTTCTTGTGGAACTATCACTTTCTTCCTTCCTTCTCTTTCTTTTCTTGCCCCATCACAGGTACAATAATCCAGTTTCAGAACACTACTTTCATCTTCCATTCTCTCCAGCCAGGCTGCAGACAATTCACGCTCTTTCCTCTAGCCCCAAGGAATGTGTTTGTATGTATTTATGAATTCACAAATATTCACACACACCCAATTCCAATTCGGAACTACAGTGTTTTTATTGAATATCTATCTTTTAAGTCAATCTCTTTGTCTAACACCAAGCATTTTTTTTTCAAGGGTACTACTGGGAGTAATAGAAATAGGATATTCCAGAAAGTCCTTCACTTTTCCCCACATTGCATAGACAAAACAATACATAATAGCAAAAATACCGCTAACAACAGTATTCAGTCGCTGAATACCGCTCAGTCCTGTCGGTCAGTCACTCAGTCCTGTCTGACTCTTTGCGATCCCATGGACTGCAGCTTCCCTGTCCATCACCAAGTCCGGGAGCTTGCTCAAACTCAAGTCCACCGAGTCGGTGATTCCATCCAACCATCTCATCCTCTGTCGTCCTCAACAACGATATTGGGGAAAGCAATTTTGGGATTTGTTGTCCTGAGTATACATAAATTGTTGCTTTATTTTAATTTTATAACAATAAAATTGGATGTAGCTTCCAACTTAAATCTAACTAAGTACGGTATATTCACTATAGTCTAGCCTTGACTATAAATCCGCAGGTGTCTCAAAGGCCAGGATGAAGTTGGATAAGGGACCCTCGGTCTCCAAAGATGCTGGATCCGTGGCCCTGGCTCCTCTTTCTGTCTGAACTTGGGAGGAAAGGACTAGATTTCCTGGAGTCAAGGTTCAAATCTTAGCCTAGCAGCGGCTTTTCGTGTTCAGCGGAGACGTAGGGGCGAGAAATTCTGGAAAAAAAAAAAATCGAATAAATCGAAGTAATTGAAATAGGATCAATTAAAACTCGAAATTGAATTGGACAAGTGAGTTAAAATCTTCTCACCGGAAAGCTGTCAACCTGGCTGATCAATGACATCACAGCCCCCGCGACCATTTATTCACAGGGACAAGACGTGCGGTGAGAAGCGCCCTCAGTGAGCCAGCTTCTGCCTTTCACCCTGGAGACCCAGGGTGACCCGATGGGGTGGGGGTGGCAGTGGCTTGGTCGTTGCGCCCCTTGGCGGGGCCGGGCCTCCGATGGCCAGCGCCTTTAGGTCCAGCGGGGACGCCCCGGGCTCGACTCCCACCTGCCCGCTACCTCCCGGTGGATCACCGACCTGCACAGCCCGCATAATAGGTTTCCGCGACCTCGGCTGCTGAGGGGGAGGCGGCAGAGCACGGGGGACCTGTGGCCCCCTTCGCGGGACCCAGACGTTCTGGTCCCGAGAGCAGGAGGGAGGGGGACGCTGGGGCGGGAAAGCAAGTCCACTCAGCGCGCATCTGAGGCTCGAGTTCGCTTTCAGGTGGAGACTGAGTTCCGGCTAAGCGCGTAAAAGACACTTAACTCAGCCTAAAGAGAAAGGTCCCACCGAGACTCGAATTCGGATCGCTGAGATTCAGAGTCCAGAGTGCTCACCATTACACCATGGAACCGCCACCGGCCGGGTACTCCCGCCACTGAGCCAGGCCTGGCGCAGCCGCGCCGGCCCAGAACCCGCCTCCCGCCCGGCGCTCTCGTCACCCCGCCCCGAGCAGCTTCCTCCACGACGCCAGGGGGCGCCTGACTCGCCGGCCCGCAGCCTTCTCTTCAGGTTTGGACTTCGTCCAATGAGAAGAAACCCATTCGGGGTGAACAACAGGGAAGGGCTTTTGGGGCCTCCTCCAAATGCACCTGCTCTGCCGGCATTTCTAGAGTTTTCTACCCAGAAGTAAAATTCTCGCCAGAAAAAAAAGTTCCTTTTCTCTGCCGTTGTCCTCTTCCCGCTGCCCTGGGAGCAATGAATGTCCCCAGAAGAGCCCTTCGGACTTCGTGGGATGTCCCCTTCCTGGGACCCCAGGTCCAAGAGTCGTAGAATCGCGGGGGCGCTGCCAGCTTCGTTGGGGGACAGAACATCCTGTCTGTGTTGGGAACCGGATCGAAGCCAAAGCGACAGCGGCCCCGCACGTCGCGCCGCGAGCACCCGCGCCGCCGGCGCCCCGCGGGGTGTGGTCGGGTGTGAGCAGCTGACAGTGTTTCTTCTGGGCTGTTTCCTTCCTAACCTTCCTTCTCCTCCTCAGCTTTCTGGGTTCACCCCCTCCCCGCCCACCCGCGTCCCCAAGACGGCGGCGCCCTCTCGGTTTTGCGAGGGAAGCTCAGCGCCCACGGGGTGCCCTCTAGAAGTTTCCATTCTCTCGACGTTTATATGATTCAGCGGCCAGTTTTAAAGTTTTGGACATCGGCCACGTTTGAAAGCCTTTCACGCCCTCCCATTCCGCAGAGGGGGATGCACGTACCAAGAGGGGCATGTGGCTGACTCCAGCCAGAGAGGCTGTGTCGTCGCCTGTCACCTGGGCGGGGGCTCCCGAGGCCGCGAGGAGCAGGCGGCCAGAGCCGTGCGCCCCGCTTTGGGGCGTCGAGGGCAGCTCGCTGGTGTCAGCGCCCAGATGTCCGTTTGTTAAAACTCAGCGCTGTGTTGTTTGTGTTTTCAGCACGGGAGGGAGGGCTTGGGCAGCTCGTTCTCACCCCGTGTCAACAGCATAAGATTTTATAATCCTGCTCTGTGAGTACCGTATGCGAGCATGACTGTTTATTGGGAAACTGGTGGTTGAAGCCACCACGGAACGTTCTAGTCTTACTTCAACTTATTTTCCTGCTTCCAAGTCTCAGACTTGACCAAAGCCTCCCCTGCTGCCTTTATCCTTCAGGCAGCAACCTCAAGCGGTAGCTCTCAGTTCCCGTTCTGACTGTCCTTTGCTCTGTAGACACAGGCGGAGCAGCTGCTGAAACTCAGCAGTCCTGGATCTTCACTGTTTGGCCCCAGGATGGTTTCTCCCTGCCCTCATCAGGTGCAACTGGTCTCTGCACTATCTGCAGCCCTGCAACTACCCTGACCTGCCGGATTCCACACCGATTCCAGGAGAACTGCCAGGCTGCAGAGGCTGAAGGCCCAGGGAGTCACCATGGTCAGTCTCCAGGTTGGTGCACATCAACAGCTAGTATTGAGTATGCCCTTACAGGATGTCACCAACACTTTCATTTGAGGTGTTGCATCCTTACATTTTTAAAAATTAATGACATTACCTTTTAGGACAGCTTTGGGTTTACAGGTAAATTGAGCACATAGTAGAGAGTTTTCACACATACTCTGTTGTTCCCCACCCAATTTCTTCTATTATTGCTATCTTGCGTTAGTGTCATGGAGGGTAAAGGGAGTACCTGGGGGGTGGCTGGGGGGAATCAAAGATCTCATGATCAGGAAGGTGGTTTTCCAAAAAATGAAGTTTTATCTATTGCACTCCAGATGTGCTAAACGCTTTGATTTCCCCAAATTTGGGAAGCTCCAATGCACAATTTGTGGTAATAGGGGACTGAGTTTGTACTCTCCCCTGACAGTTAATGGTTAATTGTGGTAGTTTAGTTGCTAAGTTGTGTCCCTCTCTTGCAGCCCCATGGACTATAGCCCGTCGGCCTCCTCTGTCAGTGGGATTTCCCAGCCAGGAATACTGGAGTGTGTTGCCTTTTTTTTCTCCAGGTGATTTTCCAGAACCAGGGATTGAACCTGGGTCTCCTGCATTGCAGGCAGATTCTTTATCGACTAAGCCACCTGGGAAGCCCTAATGGTTAATAACAGACCATTTAAATATAAATATATATTCAGTAGTTTGTGTGTACTTTTGGGGGCATTTCCTAGATTCATTTTCCTGGAAGATAAACGTTGCTGCTCCCCTTCTGAGTTGCTTTGGGGAATAAAAATGCTGTATTCCTTTCTAATGCCAGACTGTGAATTGACAGCCATCATAGTTTATGAGGATTAAGGCCCTAATCAACCAACCAGAATACTTTATTTCAGGCCGGTTGCATTTCCCATTTTCCCCTGGAAAGGGAGTAGACCAGGTTATTCCTTTACTGCAGAAACACCAGAGTTCTTGAACTCAGAGAGACCTGTGTGACCTGTGCCTCTTCCAGCCTGGGGAGGACAGATATTTCTAATATCTCACCTGATTTTCCCTACTTTCTTTTCTCTTCTATAACTGGCATGGCCACACTCCCAACCAACAAACAGTAGTGTCTAGTGCCGTGTCCCCTGCTTAGTAACTAAGGCACAGGATCATTTTAAACCACCAAGAGGAGGAATTTCTGGGATCTCTTTTGGAGCAACAGATGAGGTTCCGAGAGAGGGTTTGGGAATTTCTATTCTTCCTTCAGTGCCTGGTTTGTAACCTAAGGATCTGAAGTGTCTGGCTTCTCTCCCTGGCTCTCCAGGGAACATAAGTCAGCCTGGGGGCAGTGTTTCCTAAGAGAGTCTCCACAAAAG